TTGCCAAGGCCTTGAGCTCACAGCACACAGCTTTTCCTGAGATATGTTTCTGCAATTCATGGGTACTATTCCAACCCTTTTGGGCACTTGTAGGCCATAAATTATTTAAAAGAAAAAACCCCAACCCTAAAGAACTGTCTTTTTTAGCCCTTTGTAAGGATTTACTCAGCTATCAGGCTTGAGATGGGCTTTTCTAAGCCCCCTTCTTGGCTCTTGACTGTTGCCTCTTAAACTCTGTTGATCCTTGGGGCAGATTTGTTGAATAGTTTCTACTTTAAATAAAAGGTGAGAGGGAGAGAAAGAGATGTGTAAAACTGCCGAAGGAGAGGAGAGTCCATCATCCTCCCTGTTTTGTTGGTGGTTCAGTACAGAGAGTGAAGACAATGTCAACCTCTGAATCTTTCTGCGTGGATGCAAGTCAACACCTTCGACAGGGCACAAATGAGCATCCAAACTGCAGCCCTGTAGTGTGCCAGCAGCTGTGCCATGGATGATTAGTCCTTCAAATTGCCCAAATCTGGCCTCAGCACCTAGGGACATCCCAGCATTGACCCCCAGAACACCATCCCCCCCTCTCCAATCTTTGCACCTTCCCCTCTCTTCTGGGTCAGGTGTTTTTTCTTTACACTAAACAGTGCCAGCACAAAGATAAGGATTTCATCCCTGTGAGGCTGGTGAGGCCCTGGCACAGGTTGCCCAGAGAAGCTGTGGCTGCCCCATACCTGGAATTGTTCAAGGCCAGGTTGGATAGGGCTTAGAGAAACCTGATCTAGTGAAAGGTGTCCTGTCTGTGGCAGGGGGTTGGAATGAGGTGGGCTTTAAGATCACTTTCAACCAAACCATTTTACGATTTAATGAAAGACGAGCTACAGGCATTACAGCTAAAGCAGAAGGCACTGCAAAGATGTCACAGTGCAGAGCGTACAAAGTCGAAAAATTTAAAAAAAAAAGATGTAAGAAATCAAAATAGCAGACTTGGAGAGAAGAAAATTTCAGTGTTGACCTTGTGCATTCATTCATTTCTTTCCAATCTCCTGAATTGCAGAATCTTTCACTACAAAGCAGAAGGAGCCCAAAAGGCCAGATGTAGCTGTAGAATTATCAATTTTCTAAAAGCTTCTCTTTTCTACAAGCCTCCTTTGTGCCTCTTGGGGATAAATTACCCTGCATCTTTGTTAAATGTTTTTTGCATCAAGTATTCCTCAATAAAACACAGAATTTGTTTCAGTCACAAGAACATAATCTAAGAAACTGTTGTATCTTCACTCAGAGCTGCTAAGTGCTTTTGCACAGGCATAGTTGATCTTTAGGATGCACTGGGGGGGAATTTCTGAGGGTAATTTATGGGTGATTTTGACCTGAGTTAAATCCTGGATTGAACAAGCTGCATAGACAACAGAGGAGGGAAGGGGGGCAGGGGACCTTTTTTCTAAAACTGTCCCAAGTGTTAAGCTTTTACTTTGTCAAAGGTTATGAGAGGTTTTGCATTGCCTGTCTGCTCTGATGAGAAATGTTGTGGTGTGAACTAACATGATCCTAAAGAAGAGATACACGAAATGAATCTATTTTTATTCTGGCACTGGCTCGCTGAATGACCTTGCGTAAATCACATCTCTGTACCTCATTTTCAATTATGTAAATTAGGGATAAAAATTATTCACCTTCTTAGAAGTGTTTTGAGATGTACCGAAGCACAGCTAGATGCCATGATTTTAACACCTCACAGTTAACTCTCCTTTTCCAGTGATTTGATGCTGCTATCAAAAAACTCCCACCACTTTCTGGGTGATGTCTCACGAGATGGGGTTTAGGGGCAGTCAAAAAACCAGGCAAGGGATAAATAATGTCAGAGGATTGCAAGGCTGATACACTGTCTGTGCAATGGTTGTTACTTCATGTTTCAGAAAACGTGAAAATTAAAAAAAAAAAAAAAAAAAATGGAATTAAGGGGCTGAGCAATGCTGGTTGATGGTTGTGGATGTCTCAGCAGCAGCAATACTTTACTGGCCCCTGAGCAGCCAGTGCCCCAAGAAGGAAGGTTTTTTCACTCCTATGGAAACATGAGCACCAGTAATGACTACTGTTATCCTTGATCAGACATCAACTGCTTCCAAAACCAAACCAAAAAAGATCTGCTGCAGATAGATAAGGGATAGAGAGGATAGTCAATGAGTACACCTGCAAAGAGCAGACACTTTCATGGGCATGTGTGTATCCAAACCTGGATGTGGTTCTGCCAGCAGATTTGATCCCATCAGCTCTTTTTCTGGAAGGAATAGTGAATATTCACTAAAGCAAGGTGAGGGACCATGTGCCTGGTGAGCAGTGAACCCACCTGACTCGTTTCATTTGCTTTTCCCCCCACCCTCCCACATTTCTGCAGATGTCAAAATAGCTTAATATTTTAGAGATGGCAAGTGGTGGCTGTTCCCAAGAGGGCCAAAGGAAACTTCTGGTGCTGCAGGTTGGGATTTTAGTGAAATGAAGCAGGAATGTAATTATCTGCGTTTCATCTACCACTTCCAAAGTCTGGCTTAGTTGTACTAATTGCCATGCAGAAATGCATGATGAGGATCTTACAACCCAACCTGCCCAATACCAGGAAAGCACAGACTTCCAGCATCACCTGGGAAGATGGCAAGATGGCCCTGTGAGGACCTTTCAGGACCTTTCAGATGTGCACAGAGAGTCCTTGCCCATCATCACCCAGTGGCCAGCTTGGGCCCTTTTGGGAAGGAGGATAAATGGGACAAATAACTGCTCTTTTTGGATAAGAACATTTGAGAAAGAGAATACATTTCACTACATCACACTAAATTATACAGAGTCAAGCAAGCAAAGTGATTCTTTTTTCCCCAAAGCTCTTCTCTTCCTCTAATTACATTTGAAATGTTTTGCATGCTATTGAAAATGTCACTTCCAGCTGCAGACCATTAAGGAGCCTACGTGGCACTGCCATGGGTTTTATTAGGTCAGGTTTGCTGCTGAAGATTTCAATGGCTGCAAAAGCAGGCCTGGAGTGAAATATCTTTTGTTAAGAATGTTGAACACTTGTTTTGGTGATAGGGGACCCTTCACAAAGGCACAGTGCTTGCCAAATTATTTTAAAGACCAAGACCTGCGTAATTGAGCAGAAACTGCTCAAATGTGTACCATTTCTTCCTGTCTGCCTCAAAGCACTAAAGGAAAGAAATTTAGTGGTCCTGGTTTGTACTGGGGTCACTGCAGAAAACCCCATGGTGCTCTCCAAGGCATTTGTGCAGCTGGTTTTTTTTCCTGAGCCCTTGTTCTCCCAGTACTGTTGCTCGAGATGTCAGTGGGATACAAACAGGTCTGCTCTGCTTTTCTGCAAGCTGAGTGATGGAGCAGCTCTGGCTTTCACAGAGGATCAGGATACCCCATCCAAAGGTGTCCAGGAGAAAGGCTGTGAGCCACCACTGCAGAGATCCTCCAGTTTCTCCCGTGCAGCCAAGCCTTGTCAGCAGAGGTCAGGACTTGGGAAAGTGCTTTCACCTTGCTGTATCCACACCACTTTTCTGGCTCCTCTTCCTCACTCCTTCACTGATACTGCTCCATAAACCAGCTTTGGCTGAGGATTTGATGCCTCTGGGGTTACATCCATATGGGGTGTAGTTTCCTTTCCTATTATTGCTCAGGTGCTGTAATGTCTCTGAGCCCATTGCTCTGTGAAAGTCACACGGGAAGAGAAGGTGTAAACAGGGTAATACCCTGTAACCAAGATTTCATGACCTGAAAAGTGGTTCTGCAGACATGATTTGTTCTCCTTCCACTGATGTGACCCCCAGCACACAGAGCCAGCCCAGCAGAGGGAAAGTCTCACATTTAGACTTGGAGTATCATTGGCTTTTGCATTTGTTTTTTTTTTTTCCAAATCAATGCAAAAAGAAATTTAATATATTTTTCCCGGCTTGAAACAAGAGAAAAACTATACCTTTTCTGGTAAAGCAGAATAATTTCTTCAGACACAAACAAACCCTTCAATTTCCATATCAGCTTTTAAATGGTGTTTAATGCTGTGGCAGTGAGACCCTTGATGTGACCCCTGGCACCATGAGACATGGACAGGATGGGAAGATGTGCTGCTCTGGACATATCCATTACAGCTTTCACCTGGGGTTAACTATTTCTCTTGAGCAATGAAAAGCAATAAAGGGATCCTTCCGCAGCTTCCAGGTCTCCTAATATAATTCAAGTTGCTAACGATCAGGAGTGAAAATGAGAAAAAACCAAATTCTAGTGAGAGGGAAGGGAAATATCTTTCCTTTAAAGCAGACTGGGGGATGTTTTAGGGCAGCTGCACCATTTTTCTAAGAGTGGCCATCCAGCTCCTTGATTTAAGGTCTGGAAGGGACAGCCTGATGGTATTTGCTTTTCAGTGTCAATCCTGACAGAGCCCAACTCTTGCTCTTTGAATAGCCCAGAGCTGATAAAAGAATCTTTGTGGGAAGGAACAGGAAAAGCTGCACTTTGTGCTTGCTTTGCCCTCAACTCTAACATCTGCTGGAAATCAGCTCTGGCCTCTCTCTCCCTCTGACAAAAGAGCAGGATTTTGTTGTAGCTCTCCTGGTGAGTGGCTGCTGGGATCAGGCTGGAAAAAAGGGAGGAGGGTATGTGCATCTCACTCAGTCTCTTTTCTGGGTAGTGCTGCTTAGCACTGATCCTGACCCCATCATCCTGTTCACTCCTGCAACAGGGCAGAGATCACCCATTTATTCCATCCTGGTCTGCAGCCATTGATGTCTCTCACTGGAGAAAGATGGGATGTTTTCTTTCTTTCGTGCTCTACTGTTGTCACAAAAGATTTGATGGAAGTGAAACAGCCTCCTAAATATGCTGCAGAGATGTCCATTGAACTTAAATGGAAACAAGCTTACCAAAAAATCAACAGCTGACACTGAAAACATACTTAGGATAAATTTCCAAATAGCCCCAAAGAGCAAGTTGCTCCAGTTGAAGCACGATGGGAGCCCTGGAGAACTTCATAGGATTATGGAATCACGGAATGGTTTGCACTGCAAGGGATCTTAGAGATAATCTTGTTCCATCCCCCTGGCATAGACAGGGACACCTTCCACTATCCTAGGCTGCTCCAAGCCCTGTCCAAGCTGGCCTTGAACACTTTCAAGGATGGGGCCAGCCGCAGCTTCTCTGGTCAAACTGTAAAATTAAAGAAGACAGAGCCAAACTCTTCTCACCAGTGTTTGATGACAGGACAAAAATCAATGGGCTCGAACTGAAATACAGGAAATTCCACTCAAGAAAAAAAGCTTTTTTTCTTGGCACAGGTAATCAAGTCTGGCACAGGCCACCCAGAGAGTTTGTGGAATCTCCATCCTTGGAGATACTGTAAACCTGGTCAGACACAGCCCTGAGGAACCTGCTTTGGCTTTTAGGGGATTGGACCCAATGTTCTACAGATGAAATTTCCAGCCACAATAATTCTACAGTTCTGTGCCTCTGAAATTTAAGGGGCAAGTGGTTGTGTTGGCTGAAGTCAGTGCTTTGTAGTCCATGATCTCCTTACTTGGAGAAGGTTCAGGAAGCCAAAGTACAAAACAGCAACGGCAGTGAGGCTGATAGAGAACAGCCAACATGTGGTGTGGAGGGCTCACAGTCCTTAAGAAAAGAGTGACCTGTTGACATAGCTCAAAAAGGTGCCATCATTTTCTTTTCAGAGGTAATGAGGATTAATATTTTCAAAGTAAGGAAGTAGACACATGGCAGTGAATTCCTGGAAAAGCAAGAACTGTTTAATGTCTTTGGGATGTACATAATAAGTCAGCAGAGATGTGTCATCATGAACATAATCTTTCTTTGTCTGACTAATAGCAGGACTGTAAGTCCTCCCATCCCCACCAAGCTCAACAACAGCTTCTTTAATTTCAACAAAGAAATCAGGAAAATGCTCTCAAATGCTGTTTTCTTCATTTCAAGTTGCTTTTCCAACAGAAAAAAAAAAAAAACAAACCAGACAAACTGAAGTAGTAAACTAAAAGGGTGCTATGACTTCTCAGAAGGCCCCAAGGTAATAGTTTAGAGACTTGGTAGTCCATGTTGGGACATCCATCACTTTAGTCTGTCCTGTGTTCATGCCCAGTCCCAACACTAGGGAATTCCCCCTGGTTGCTTGGCATGGAAGGGAAGGATAATTTCCTTGCAGGTGGTAGCTGGTAGGGTCAAAGGAGCAAGTTGTACTTTGCATTCTGACCTTCAAATCCAAATATGAAGGATCTGGGGGGCAATACAGGCTGTGGAGAAAAACACTAAAACCCACTTGCACTCCCAAAACTTGAAGAGACCACCAAAAACCACACAGACACTGCTATCTTCACTAATAGCAACATAAATGTTTGCTGTAGGGGTGGACATTAGTTAGGTGCAAGATGGGGGTTAGAATATGTACTCAGCTTTCTTTTGGCTTAAAGTCTTCACTTTTCACTTAAAATACCAGGAAAATTCAGCAGCAGTTTCTGTTGCAGAGGGTACTCCATTAACTTTTGCCCCCAAAATCTCTGATTTCCAGGGGTTTTCATGCTTTGGGCTCTGACAAACAGCCTCATGATTTCTCTGGGACTCTGTAAGGCTTTATTGTCCCTGAGCCACAGCAGAGCTTTTTCATGGTATGGTCCCTCTGTAGACATGATGTCAGGGGTCTCACCAACCCTGTCTCTCTGCAGCTGCTACAGGTACTGCAGAAGCAGAAGGTGTTCCCTAGCCCAGAGAGTCTGAAATCCAGCTTGTCCAGGACCATGCTCCAATACCTTTATATCTGATCAAAAGCTATCAGCTCCCTCAAAAACAAGGCCTGGCTCTAGAAGGGGAATCAGATGATGGTCTTGAGCAAGTTGGTTTTGTTATCAAAATGATATTGTGTTCACTGATGTGACATTATCTGAAGCAAATATCAGTCAGATGCATCCAGTTCTGGAGCTCTCATCACGGAAAGACCTGAGGAGGCCACAGAGATGCTCCAAGGGTTGGAGCCCCTCTGCTCTGGAGCCAGGCTGGGAGAGCTGGGGGTGTTCACCTGGAGAAAAGAAGGCTTCAGGGAGACCTTAGAGCCCTTTCCAGTGCTTAAAGGGGCTCCAGGAGAGCTGGAGAGGGACTTGGGACAAGGGTCTGGAGCAAGAGGACAAGGGAGAATGGCTTCCCACTGACAGAGGATGGATTGAGGCTGGGTATAAGGGTTAAGGTTTTTATAATAATTGTGGTGAAGCCCTGGCACATGTTGTCCAGAGAAGCTGTGGCTGCCCCGCCCCTGGAAGGATTCAAGACCAGCTTGGATGGGGCCAGGATGGTGTCCCTGCTCATTGTAGGTGCATTGGACTAGACGACCTTTAAGATCCCTTCTAATCCAAACCATTCCAAGATTCTGTGATTTCTAGCACCAAGATGGTGATACCAAGGAAAGGCACCTCACCTCATTACTCAAGCTATGTGCAAATAAGCAAATATTTTTTATTTTGTTGTTTTACAAGGAATTGCACCGGGTTGGCACTTGGAATATATTGATGTGATGGACTCTGCCATGGACAAGACGTTTCGCTTCCAGTGTGATCGCTGGCTGGCTAAAGGTGAAGATGATGGGCAGCTCATAAGAGAACTGGCTTGTGCCAACAATGACATCCTGGAACTGAAGGAACGGACTGGTGAGTTTTTGGAGTTGTCTTTTGCAATTTGCTGAGGGACCTCAGAGGCCATAGGACCACATCGCCTGCAAGCTGCTTCACTAAAGGTTCCCATGCAGGCTTTAAGGGTTGGATTATTTCATGTACTCTTTAGTTCGAAAGTGCTGGGATAAGAAGGAAACAAATCAGGGTTTATGAGGAAGAAAAAGATCTCATTGTGGGTTGAAACCTAATAGAGGCCCATCCACAGTGGTTCAATCCAGCAATAAGCCAAAAGAACACATGGATATGATCTCATTAGAAGTAATGTGCTTGAGTCTTTGAGGTGGAAAATAAGATCAGTCCTTAAAGCTTTGTGAGTGACATTGTTCCGGCTTCCTCCTTAACTTGTTCTGGCCTACTAGCTCAAGTATTCCAGCTGAACATGACACCTGAGCTTAACAGCCCATGGCCCTGGGTCTGCTCTGAGTGATCCCACTAGACCCGAGGTAACTACACTGGTGTCTGATGTGGTGAGTGAGTCAGCCAACAAGAGCTATTTAACCACACTGATGATATGCAAAGTGCATCTCAAGAGCTCCAGCAACAGTGGTCTTTTTCAGGAGAGTCCTGGAGAGTCAATAATCACATTACTTTAGTGTGATGTCATTCTGCCAGTGCAAAAAAATCAGCCTTGTGATGGCCCTTTTGGGTACTTATAGGCCACCACAGCATCTGAGCACATCTTGTCGGGTACCTGGGTACCCTCACTCTGTTGGGAACAGTGGTACAAAAAAAAAAAAAAAATAGGGGGATTTGGATGGACTGTGTTAAAAAGGGAGTGCTTAGCACAGCAGGGAGCTGAACACAGCTTGTTCAAGATGGACTTTGATGATCCTTGTGGGTCCCTTCCGACTCAGGATATTCTATGATTCCAAGAATAACTCTTGCTACCCAATCGAGCAGGACTCATATTTTTTGAGTATTCTACCCCAAAGCACTTAGAATTCAAAAATACTACAGATTTCAGTGTTTCCATTCTTATTTTTCAAGTGCTTTCTTGTGCGCTGTGAAAAATATTAGGGAAGGAGTTTTTAAGCAAAGTGACAGCCAAATGAAGAGATCTTGCTGGCCATCTGCTCCTCCTTTTTTGTTTAATGTGTGTGTTAATTGTGCTCTAAAGCCTATGAGATTGTCACAGTAACAAGCGACAGAGAGGACGCAGACACAAAGGAAAACGTCTGGATCATCTTAGAAGGAAAGATGGGCCGCTCGAAGGAATTCCTCATGGAAAACTCCTCCAAGAAAAGGAGATTCGAAAGGTAGTAAAGAGAATGGTGGGCTACAGGAACTCCCCACCCGTTGCGTGTCCTCCACGAACGCCACCTCTTCTCTAGGATGGCTTAGAGACTTGTGTTTGTGCCGTGCTTCTTCTTATCCCCCTCCCAAAAAGCTTGGCGGCTTCTCACCTGGATTAAAAGGAACATATAAAATGAGTTTCTGATGGGCAGTCGCAGACTAGGTTTTAAAATGACACGAAAAAGGCATTTGGCAAAAGGAAATACAGATGTTGCAAGCGTGTGCGTGTCTCCCTTTGTATCAGGACATGCAAAGGGATTTCTGGCGAACCCCCAGGGAGGCTCTGTGTGTGTTTCTGAGCTGGGAGGAGCAGAAGGAAGCTGGGGGTGGTTTTAATTCCTTTTGCAGCATCTCACTGGCAGCGGGAATCAGAGAGAAAGTAATAATAGTTAGAGGCTAAATGTTGTCAGAGCTGCTCAGATTTGACTTCCCAGACAAACCTGCAGGGTGAGGCTGCAAGATCACTGTCGCGTGAGGAAAGCCAAGAATCAGCCTCTCACTCAGACAGGCTGGAGGCACATCCGTGTAACATAGAGCATATTCCTTCTCCCACGTGGCACCAAAGTGCTCCAGATGTAAACTGGGTTTTCTGCTTTGGTTAAGGACACAGTACGTCCTTAGGAGACAGGGATCTCTTCAGAGTCACGGGACATTCTGTTGCTTTGCAGGGAGGAAAGGTTTTCCTGGTAAGGGAAGGTGAACTTACAGCTGATGTGGGATGTAGTATGAATGTCTGAGGTATCATGTGAATTATGAAAGATCAGGAGGAGCTTCCTCTCAACCTTCAGCTGATGGTGTCTATGGAGGGCTTAGACACCATGCTCCGAGGCATTACTCACAGACTATCCTTGGAGGCAGGTTGGAACAAGGACCAATCTAAGGAAATCAACCTAACAGATGCTCAGGGAACATGACAGGAATCTAGTCAAGGGCTTGACAGAGACATGTCATCCCTGCCCCGTTTCTGGGGCTTGGAACTAGATGTTCTTTATGGTCCTTTCCAAACCAAATCGTTCTGAGATTCTATGATTCTATTGTTTCCCTAAACTATTTTCAATCTGAGTTTCAGGAAGGGTGGCTGAACTAGCAAATTTAAAACAGCTATGGTGGGTAGATGTGTAACAGATACAGTATCTGTCAAGAATGAATGAATAAGTGCTGGAGGGGAAATTAGTCATTCTTTAGCTTTATCTATAATGAGGCAAATTGATTTTGTATGTGGAACAGCTCAAGTTTATCCTGGGAAGTTCTAGTGGCAACAATTTAAAGTGTCACCCCTAATCAGAGAAAATACTAAATTTAAATATGGAAATTATACTTTGTGTTGAATGATTGTAGGTTAAATCAAATGACTGTGAATGAAGGCTTATCTTCTATCTCCTATAGCTGTGTGCAAATTACTTAATGTCCATATGTGACAAGTCACTGGCAGCCTTCAGGATACTGAAACTGCTCCCTGTTTCCTGTAGGGGAGCAACAGACACATTTCAGTTTTCTTCAAAGAACGTTGGGGATATTGCAGCCATCTGTGTTGGTCACTGCCCAAAAGATGGGAAGAAGTCATCTGCGAAAGCTGATGTCTTCTGGCATGTCCAGGAGATTATCGTGACGGAGATGGAGCTTTGTAACAAGTAAGTGCCTTCTCATTTGCAAGGAGCTGCTCCAGGAGGGCATGAGGGAGCTGATCTGCTCTGCATATGTCCTCCTGAAGGAATAACAGAAAGTCTCACCTTAGTCTGAAAGCTAAGGATATGTTGTTTGGTGTGTCAGGTGCAGAACATCCGTGCCTGACTCACCCGTGCAGTTTCGGAGTTGTTAGAGAGGGGATTTGCATGTGCAGGTAAGTTTGTAAACAAGATGCCTTGGGTGAATCTCACAGCTAGGACAAATTGATGTCTCAGGTTGTGGGAAATACTCCAGACTGGCTGAAATGTAAGGGATTTGTAGGATGCTCTGCACGGGCTGGTCTTTAAGTAAGTCCTGTGAAAGAGCTCCTAGAAACAAGTCGAGGGTAAGACAAAACCTGAGCCTCTGATTCAGACCACTTTGGATCAGAGATCCTTCTGGTCTGGTCCAAAAGGCTCGACATGACTGGAAATGTCACAGTCATGGAGCTGGACCATATCTGAGGAGCGCTGAGCATGTCAGGTCCTGCATGCTTTGGTCTGAGTCCTGTCTTTTTGAAGGGGTGACATTCACACCTCAGAGAGCAGATAGCACAGGGACTATGCAGGAACCAGAGGAGATCACCCATTTGCAGAAAAAAACTACACTTCAGTGAAAAATCTACACTGTTAATTGTGAATTTCTTCTCTTCTCCATGTTATTTCCATTGCTGCTAAAGAGTTTAACTACAAGGAGTTCATTTCAGCTGAAACAATTGAGTGTTTAAGAAGAAATCCTTGAAGTGTTGGATTTTTTTCTTTTTAAAGCTAAGAGTCTCTCCTAGCAAATTAATCAGACAGTTGGAGAGCCTTAATAATGTTTGCTGAATGAAAACTCAGTCAATTGCATACTAAAACATGCTCTTTTCTCCTGGCGGGGGAAAACCTGGAACCCTCGAAGTCCAGCTGCGCAATCAAATCCATGCATTAAACTCTCTGGGAGCATGATGAAACTGCTGAAACAGTGTGTTGTGAAGGGGCCAAAGACATTCTCATAAAGACATGGACTTTTTTTAAAGCTGTTTTAAATTAAAGAGGGCACTCAGGAGGTACGGGTAGAGCCTGCAGCCTGTCCTTTCACTGAAGCAGGGCTCCAGCTCTGCGGATGCAGCACTTCTCTGTGGTGTTTGCTGTGCAAAGGACCAACTGGAGAGATTGCACCATGAGAGCAAGCTCTCACTTCAAATATTCCCCATCCCAAAATCCAAAAAATACCACCCAGACAAGTCAAAGACCAAATCAAGAGAGTTATGAAATTGCTGCGGCAGTAGTTTTGAATTATACTGGGATTTTGCTATTTAGTGGTAGATCTTAGCGTGTGAAAGGGCTGCATTAAAACTTTTCCTTGCAAATCACAGGTCTAGAAAGGTCATCTTTTTTCTTCTTACCCCTTGTGAAGATTGGCATGCACTGTTATACCTCCAGACCATGAGATATTCCATAGCTGAAGAGATAAAACTGAACATCAGGCAACATATCCACCTCACTCTCATGCAGGTTTTCTGTCCATGAGGCTAAAATTTTTCACCCCCTGGAATTTCTCATTTACAGAGCCTCTTTCCAGGGAAAGAAGTTTTTCACTTTGGCTGCGGAAAACGCCAAAAGTGTTGGAAGTGCTTAAGAAACACAGCACAGCTGGAATCACAGTAACCCTTCCTCCAGGTGTTTATTTTACACACATACACACTGCAATCCAGCTACACTCCATTCAGGAGGACCTGCTGCAGTTTGGTGAGGGCGGGGGAAGGGGAAAAAGCTCATTTGGAACTGATCTGCATCATTGGAAATGAAA